TAATTTGGTGTTTTTTGGAAATGCAAGATGACGTTGATTGTAATATAAGTGATCGTTATGGATGAATTATAATAATAATTGTTTTGTTATTGAATGTGTGGTGTTTTTTGTTTTGAAACGCTCATTCTTAATTCCAATTAAAAAATTTCATTCAGTGTGTGTAATCGGTTCCAATTCTATCGTATGGTCGTGACGATGTCTAATATTTTGTTTCAACTTTTTTGCGAAGAATTCTTTTTTTTGTTGGTGACTCTGGAAACTCCACTTATTTTTTTGTTGATTAATTATGAAGATGATGCTCGCTGCTCGTAATTTCAATGTCGACAAGTGATCTTGCTTAGCGCCTGCTGAACACGAAACGAAATATGAAGCATATCGGTTTTCACTTCACGGATGCTGATGGGAAAGGAGCCAACATAACACTTAAACAATTTTTGCTATTTGAGTGTTATGCACACAAGTGATCTTGCTCAGCGTTTGATTTTAGTTTCAGTTGAGTAATTTTTGTTTCGTGTTTTAGAAATAAGTAAAAGGAACAATCGATCACAATGCAAGGTGACTTCTTCAAACGTCCTGCATTACCCTTATCGCTTCTGCCGACGATGGGTATGTCTTTCTTCCTTCCGTTCAGTGCATTACGCTAGCATGCAAATGATATCAAATTTGTTGTAATTTCCTACGCATTTCGTAATATTGTCAAACTAATTATTCATTTGATTGAGGAACTGATCACCGGATATTTCGAATGGAAAAAACCGGTTTTTTGATGGCGTCACATCGTCGCATTTTTCGGAGTGTTTAGGTTCAATGTGCAAATGACTGATATTTGCTTTTTCAGGGCCCAAACGACCTCGTCGAGATGTTCTGCCAAGCAGTGAACCACAACAAAGGTTGCACTCAAGAACATCCAATTTAAAAGCGCCAATAATGCTGTTAAGTGGACATGAAGGTGAAATATACACTGCAAAGTTCAGTCCAGATGGTACCTGTCTTGCATCCGCTGGATTCGATATGAAAATTTGTTAGTTTCTCTCATTGTTTCTGCAGTTATTTGTTTGCTCTATGACTGCCCCAAAGTGGACATTAAAGATCTCAAAAAATATCGGTTTCCGCGAAAGCCGATTGTCTCTGTCGAAGAGGCCGAGTAAGCTTTGCTTCCACTATGCTATCATTCAATGAGCATTTTACTTGTAGTTACTACGAATTGTCTTTGTTGAATTGTCCGTTAACAACATTAAGACACTTTTTTGTAGTCCTTTGGAATGTGTATGGAGATTGCGAAAACTTTTCGGTGCTGAAAGGCCATATTGGTGCGATTATGGATATTCATTTCAGTTCCGATTCAGGGTGAGTTAATAGCAATTCTTCTTATCCACCTTTACCATTTGCATGCGATAGCTGACTTGTT